AATTAGGCCGAGTCGCCGCAGAAACGGAAAAAATATATATATTCCACCGAAGGAAACGCGTCCGGCGAAATCGTAGAGGTGTTCGCGAAAGAAATCTATGGCCCCAGAGGCTAAGGTATGGGAGGTGGCAGATACTGCGACGGATATTCGAATTTTCTGCTCGATACCTCCTATAAGCCTTTCCAATTTTCTGATAGTCACGCCAATACTCGGTAAATTTCGTTTGCTCCACGATCCTCTCTCTTTTTCTCTTCCTCTGTGTTACTCTCTCTTCCTCTCTCTCTCTCTCTCCCTCTCTCTCTTTCTCTCTTCCTCTTCTGTCGACTGAGGAATATTTCGTAGGAATTTGGAAAAGAATTTATGTGTTCTGAAATTTTTCTGTGGCAACGGAGAAGACCTTCTTTGGATTTCTTTGAATTTTAGAGACGATGATAGAGCACTGATCGATCCAATAATGATTTGACGATGATGAAGTGATCAGGAAGAATATAGGACTCAAAATTGTGGTTTCTGTTATATTATATTATAAGTTTCATTTATATTCTGATTTTTTAAAAATTGTTTTTATTCATCAACTTTTGAAATTTCTTTTAAATTGATGGCTTGATTTTTTGATAAACATGTTCCAATTCTGTTTGCTGGATTTGACGAGCTCGATGTAACAGTATGCTAATAATCACGATTTTTGCCGAAGTTATACTGTTTAAGTAATTAGCAATGCTTACATAAATGACGCAAACTTTGCTAAATTTACGAGTGAAGTTTCCAATTTACAGTTCGCTATAAATTATCGATAAAGCTGCTGATTACACGGCTATGAGACAGCAAATGCATATTTTCAGAGAACATTGGTAATAAAGTAGGTGATTCATCGGAGATCTGAGAAAATTTTATCGCGTTTATTTTATTTTACATATTTCTTTTTTTTGGAATATTTATTACGATATTTATTTTAGGAAATCCGTCGTCATTAACTGCACTTTCGAATAAATTTATCGGATATAATTATATCGACAGCATAAGCACAGTTTTACAGAGAAATTTCATTTCGCAGATAAATTGCCAATTTTGTAGATTTCTGAAACGTGAAATTATTCAGGTATCATTGAATAGCATAGTAATTCTATTGTAACCTAATGCAGAATTAAACTAACAATTATTAAACTTTATTTAATATTGTATAAAATTTTGAATTCAGTATAATTCATAATTTCTATGGAGTTTGATAATTATTACGATATTAAGAAAAGATGAAAAGTACTCGGAAAATCATGAAATTTTTCATATTAAATACTTGATTGATTATGCATTCAAAATCGATGCATAACAAATTAGTGAAACATTAAACGATATAATTCGGCTTTAAAGCTGTTACGATGTTCGTTAAACCAGTGATGCTATACCACATACTGCCTCGGTGAACTCTCGTAAATTTTAATTAATAATTTTTTAATTTGTATATTTTAAATTTTGTTTGTAAATGTCTTCCGTTTTGCAAAAAGTTGCAGTCACTGATACACCGATATAAAATTCTCGTATTCATCGGATTATACTTAATGCGACATCTAAATTAAATTCCTCTATTTATACATAGTAATTAATACGATAAATTAGCTGCGCTCTTTCTGGTATATAATAACGTTAATAACTCGATTAAAATTGTTTCATGAATATCCATCGTGATAATTTCCAGCATCGACAAACCGATTCTAAAGAGAACGTGCATTAGTAAATTAAATTACAGGAACGAATGATTATAGCAATTATACGAATAACGTCAGGGTGCCATTAAACTCGTACATTAATGATAATTAGGTTATGCGTGTGTGTCAGAGTTTCTATGACTAAAGTCATCTTCTTCAAGACCACCTCGGAGCCCCATAATCTCAGATTCAGGGTCACTGAGCAAAGACTTGTTTTCCTGATCGGTCAAGTATGCAAATCTGGGTTCGTGTCAGAGGATCCTAATTAAGGAAGAGCCAATCCGTTTATCGTGAAATGTTACTGCTGTCCTTGCATATATTTATGGCTTGCAAACGAGGTTTCAATACATTAATTGCAAGTGGAGTTTGGTACAGTTTTAATTTGTTGCAATTTAAACAAATCTGGGAGTAGAATAATAATTATGAGATTAATGACCTATAATATTATATATTAAAATTCTTTTCACTCTACTAGCTCCACCTAAGCAATATTAATAATATTTGTATTCCTATTTGGTTAAGAATTGTTGATTAATTTTGGTAAATGAAAATTGAAAAGAGAAAGTTAGGTTATGTTATACATCAATATCGAATTAAATCAATTATATATTAATATTAAACCACAATATACAGGAAGAAAATAGTGCGTTTCTTTTTCATCTCTAAAGTTATAAAGCCTGAATTAACCTCACTGGTACACTATTTCATTAGAAATATTACCCGCGAAATTCAAATCGATAAAGATTAATGCGCAGTAGAAAGAGATATTTCAAAAAATGCAATGTGAATTTTCCATCGATATACTTTCGACAATTTCAATTTCGACGATATTTTTTTCATAATTTGCTTAATTACTATTTAGAAATATTTTAAATTACTTCAAAATTCAGTATTTTATCCCCACTGTTATACAAATATCTGGCAAATAAAATTTCTGTATCAACTCGCAATATTTCCCACATCATAATTGCCTGAAGCCACCATAGACTTGAAATTTTTCTAGAATTTTAGATATTATCAAACATAACCTGCATAACCTACATAACCTTAAAACGCCGTACCTATCAATGACTCGCGTTCGTGGTATTAAAAAGTACTAGCACCTTTCTGGAGTAATCATCTGCAATTAATTAGAAGTGCCGTGAAACGCGTTTTCATCATAGCACCCCACGTTCCGTTCCTAAGTCCTGGCACGAAACCATTTCCTTGGAACGGCAAACGCAGGTAACCGTAGGTTTACCTAGGACGACGATGAAGTGAAATTTCGTCGACAATACGCAACCACGTAACTTTCAATCGGAACCCCGAAAATTCGATTCCACGGAACGCACACGTTCCAATATACACACACCGGTGGCGTATTCAATTCCCGTCGGTCGGTGAGCGCGATAACAACACGTTCCTCCAACTATTTGGCCAAAAAGTTGGTTCGAAGCGACGTAAAGTGGAACGCGGGCCCAGTTGCCGAATTGATACTGCGCGCATGCGCGCGAGTGAGTTCGCCGCGCCACCGCTGTGCACGCTACTCCTACCGGTGCCTCTATATTTGTCATGCTGAACAATTCAGGCGGCTTATCCACTGGTAGCCGATTTTCCCGGCATTCTGCGCCATGCTGGGCGCATTTAGCAGGCAAGAATGTACGCGTGACAGAAATGCCGCGGCGTCGCCCCGGGCCGCTCCCAAGTATAAACCCAAAGACACACATAAACACGAGGAACGAGGATGAACAGCAGGCAGAGTAGATCGGGAACGCAGGCCAACGCTGTTTAATGAAACTCTTATATAAACTATCGCGTGGGTAGAATATCACGCACTACTCTCGCCACTTTTGTTTCGGCTGTTTGTCAGAAGCCCTTTTCTGTCGCTTAATACGTTGTCGACAATGTATATACATGTACATATGATGTATGTACGTTGATACGCGAGATGGGAAGAACTCGTGTAACAGACCTTGTATACTTGTACATTATTGTTGGACCTTTGTCTCCTGTTTCTGAAATTGTCACTGATTTTTCTCTTTGTTCTTTGTGGGATGATGATTGCAATGTTTGTACTGGTAGAAGATAGGTAATACAGGGTTATACAGGGTTTTTCAAAAATATAGAGAGACTTGGAAACAGTTTGTATAGGTGTCTTTATATAATTGTGACTTAAACCTTTGTTTCAAGTTTCTGAAATTGTCAATGATCTTTTTCTTTGCTCTCTGTGGATTATAGGTGAAATCTTTGTACTGGGTAGAAGATAGGAAATAGAGTGTTATATAGGGTTCTTTTTTAAACATATGGAGACTTAAGTATATGAAGACATCTTGTGTAGGTGTCTTTACATACTTGTGACTTAAACCTTTGTTTTAAGCTTCTGAAATTGTCAATGATCTTTTCCTTTGTTCTCTGTGAGATGTTACTTGTAATTTCTGCACTTGGTAGAAGATAGGAAATAGAGTGTAACACGTGCTTCGTTTGTTAATATATATATATATATATGGAGATAGTCTGTGTATCTTTATATACTTGTGACTTAGATCTTTGTGTTAAGCTTCTGAAATTATCAATGATCCTTTCCTTTGTTCTTTATGGGATGCTAATTAGAATTTTTGTCCTGAGTAGAGGATAGAAAATAGTATGTTATATAGGGTTCTTTTTGTTTTTAGATATATAGAAACTTGGAGACAGCTTGTGTAGATGTCTGTATATACCTGTGACTTAGACTTTTGTGTTAAGCTTATGAAATTGTCAATGATCTTCTTTGTTCTCTTTGAGATGATAGTTGGAATTTTGACACTCTATACATAGGAAATTATTATTACTATTGTTATTATAGGAAATTAAACGTTAATTATTAAAGATCTGATCAAGCCTACATAACTAAACACGTATAACGATTCTCACTGTCATAAAGAAGATCCAAAAATAAATATCCTTGTGGTTAAGAGAACGAACACTCTACCCCCAGTGCGCAATACCCGAATCGATTAACAGTCAAGTCTCATCAGCCTGCGATAATTGCGACCACGTAGATAGAATAATAACTCGCAGTATAGCAAGGAAAAGAATGTTTTACATAAATCTACTTCCTCGTTCCTGATTTCCCGCTATTCCAATTAAATTTCGTCACCTTGGAAATGCAGCGCAATAGCTTACCCAGAAGCTCCATCATCCAGTAACCCCCCCGCCGCGGAGTTCATAAATAAAAAGAATAATCTCTCGGCGGTGAGCGTGCGTTCCTAACGAGTTGATAAAGAATTATCGTCGCAGATTTAGTGCCTGACGTAATCCTCGGCTTACTGTTTGTTACAGGAGAGCATCCAGCGGCGATGCAGCACGGGAACTCGAGCAACAGCGGCGCGGCAACGAGGACGCTCGCGTTGCTCCTGTTGCTTCTGCACGCCGGTTCGTTCGCGAGGTGACTGGTCGATCACCAGGCCTTCCAATAAGAACGCGAGCAAACATCATTTTTCCTTTACATAATCGAACGGAGGCAAAAATGGGAGAGGAAAGGGGAATGGTTGGAAGAGCGAGGAAGGAAGCGTCGTCTTTAACAGCAGCACCCACCCATCGACCCCTTATATATCACCCTCGATCTTGCTTTTAACCGATCAGCAACGAGAGAGCAGGCAAGCCATCAAAGAGACTCCTAACGAACGGCAGCCCGTGTAACCCGAGCATCCGGTGACCCCGTGGACTGACTCCTGACTGTTCCTGCTCTCCGTGGATGTATCGATCATTTTAGCTGGTGTGAATCGCTTCCAACACGGGAATAGTAAATCCTCAGTGTCTCTAACAGCCGATCTGTTGCACGGAAGCGGCCGACCGCGCCTTCCGTTCCCCTTTTTCCGTGTCCGTAGATGTTTCGAGTCGATCACGATAACGCGAGTGGTGAAACTGTTTCGCAGTGGTGGTTCTTCGTTCTTCGTGGCGGCGTTCGAGAGGGACTCGCGAACGTGATTATTCTTTCGTTTCGTGCGAGAGGAGGAAGAGAACGGAGACCGGGCCGAGAAGAGGACTCGACGACATGTAAATGGGTGTTTAGCATGATGCAGTTGGACTCGGTGCGATCCACGGAACGCTTAACGTCCGCGATAGTCAAGGATCTGCGCAAGGCTCGTTCTCGTAATTAACGGGTACGGCGAGTGTCTGCCAAGTTGGATGGCTGCCACGTTCCTTCGGTAACGTTGCTTCATACCGTTGCAAAACGAAACAAAACGCGTATCCTTCGGATCGTTTCGCCTTAACGAGCGACACCCAAGCTGTGTAGCTGGTTCGGACGATAGAGCGCGCTAGTGAGTTATTGTATTACGCGGCGGCCATGATCGATGTCGGCATGGCACCGTTGGTGTTGCCGACGCTAGGGGCCGGCTGTAGTTCGTACCTGTATTCAGGCCTTAAATTGGAGAAAATTCTTCACCTTTGAATTTTTCCTCAGTTTATTAGATACCACTTGGTGTCGATTTATTATTAACAAATTCTCTTTGATATCTGGAATATTCGAAGGAATTTTATCTTTTTCGTGCAGCGTCCGAAGAGTTCATTTGAAATTAATATTTGTGCAGTTATCGAGTATATTTCAAATTACAAATATTGACTGGTTTCGCGAGCACGTTGTATCGTTTGAACCAATCGGGCGTCGAGTTCCGTCGGCTGAGGAAAATCAACGTAGATGGCTCTGTGCTCGAACGACGCCTAGGCATCTAGTAGGAAAATTCTCGCTCTTGTAACGAGATTCGATAAGAGTATGATTCTCCTTGAATTGATCATTTCATATACACGACTTGGTAGAAAATATTCGATGTATTCATGAAGTATAGAATCGTGCCATTAAAGACATAGAGTTCGTATCGACTGTATTTATCTCTGAGATTCGCCGTTGCACACTTGAAATCGAATAACTGAATACAAAGTCGACGATCGACTTGACCAAGTGAGAAAAGTACAGCTTTTCCAAGTGTAAATTTGTCAATTTATTTATTCTCGATATTTAGACAATTATATCAAAAGACTGGAGATAATATATAAACACGTATTCAGTAAAATCGATGAAATTCTGATTAACTCCTTTAATTTCGTGCATTTGTTTCAAAAACGAAGCAAAATATTTCTGCTTTTACATTTATAGGACTTTCGCTGATTTTTACGAAATATTTATTTTACGAAGACTTTAAAAAATTTCTAATTATCATATTTAAAAAACAAGTGGAATATAAGGTATTCAAATTCGAGAATACGTCACTGAAAATTAAAATGTTAAGGAAATCAATAGGGTGGCTGAAACAACCATAGCAGGGAACGCAGTTGGAGCAATTTTCGAGTCACATGTAGGTGGTAATGCAATCATGCACAAAGGCGACAGGTGTAACCAAGGCATCAGTTCCACGAATTGCCATCGAATCGCTTCTTTATTGTTCCTAATAGCACATGATTGTCGGTTCCCTGGTCAGAAAAGAACTTATTTTTGATCGACACATGCGCGCGTACAAGGACCTGAAAGGTTGCCGGTTCTACCGCGGCGTTGCCACGACAAAAGGCGGCCTTTCATGAGCGCTACTTGTACCGTGACAATTCCACATGCAGCCGCAATAATTTTCGCGATCAAACGGCACGCAGCGGCACCTGGTTTAATAGTATCGTCTGACAGTGACAAACGACCGACCGACGAAAGGAACAGAGAAATTAATAGGTGCCGGTTTACTGCTGTTCACCGCGTCGATTCGACGAGCTTTGTGCCATGGACAACGGACTTTTTCCAGGTATCAGTTCGGGGTTAGAGGAATTTCCTCGAAATTTTTGCTTATCTAACTCGTAGACCGTGGAATGCACTACGGTCGAGATGAAACTTCAGATATACAGGGTGTCCCATATTTTCTCGTCCAAACTTCGCCGATGCGTTTTTGGGTAAAAATAAAATTGAGCTATAAGAAATATTCGTGGATACTTTGATAAGAAAACGATAATTATTGTAACAAAAATAAGAAACGTACCGGATACGATCATTATTTCTCTCAGATCGATATAGGGTGATGTGAAATACGTGATGTTTATGCTCTTTGTCTTCTTTTCGCGTCGTGTGTGTAAATAAAAGTTATACTAATTAATAATTAATGAAATCTACGATAGTTTATTAGGTAGTAGATTTAATAATATACCAAGATAGGCTTGTATCGATACAAAGTTGCGATATTTCGAAATGAAAATACAAATGTATATTTAGAAAGTGTACATTGTTTCATAATTTTGGCATAAATTCTCGATGAACCATTTTTACTATTTTCTGTTCAATTTTAGTTTCGTGTTTGCTTGTGAAACGTGCTAGGGAAGTTTCTAGGGGAAAATGTCGACGTACAGTTATATCGGTTGATCAATTGTTTAGTTATAATTTTGTTATAGATAATCTCTTTGTTAGTTTCCTTCTTTATAAATTATTTTAAGATTTTTCGTAATTTATCGTTTGTTTCTAATCGTAGGCAGGCTCGTGAAACGAGGATATTTATGGTATTTACATTGGGGTAGGGAAGGGTTGTTAAGTGCATTAGACTGCAAATATTTGTAGGTAGTAATCTGATTAGGTGAAGCTTGCGAAAAGGGCTACGATTTGTAGACTCACGAGCTTGTAGATATCGTGGAGAATATATGTGTTTATGGCGCGTTTTTATCGTTAATGATAAATTGTTCAAAATTCAATTTCTTAAAAGGGTAAGGTTGAGGATTAAACGAGATTTCTATGTGCAGTTATCTTTGTTTCGTGCGAATGAAATGGGACGAGGAATCTCAGCTGACGTTCCATAAAAGAAAATTAGAACGTTCCGTGCAACAATGGGAGACTGAAATATTGTTTAAATATTATAATAAAATTTATAACAGCAAAAGTGTAAATACGGAAAATATGTTTTCGGGAGACTGAGGTAAAATTTTCTGTAGTCTCGTTTAATCGATATGTAGTAAATTGAGTTACATTGAAAATTTTCCTACAATTTCTACGATAAATTACTTTCTTCGTTGCAATTCTTAATTTATTGAAATAACGTTTGAATTAAATGTTTAAAAGAAAGATATAAATATAGAAAATAATCGAGTAAAAATGATGTTCATAATTGAAATAATACGTGATGGTGCTTTTGTTTAGGGTGCTTTGAATTTGAGGTTATGTACCTGTTATACTTATGAAAAATATTGTAGAAAGATTTGAAACAATTTTTAGGAATTGAGGTACGAAAATTTTATCGAAAATCTCGTTTAGAATATAAAATTGTACTGTTTTTGGACTGTGTATTTGTATAACCTAACGTAGTTTAGGTTATATAATACTTGTTTCTCTTATAGCAACTTGTTTTCGATCAAAATATATTTTTTGTAGCTTTCAAAATATCACGGAACGTTATTTGAACTGTGTTTTGTTTTCAGTTATTCTTTTTCGTGTTTTCTCTGCCTTCTGTGGCCACTTTTGTAGGAAAAACTGAAATGAAATTAATTCGATTGGAAATTCTCATATCACTAGCGAAATTTCTCCCTAGGGACTTTCTGCGTAGGGTTGAATAAAAACGCGTAATCTAAATGTTTCCAGACGAAAATCCTGATAACGATATTTGTTTGTTTTCTGATAAACTGGCGCAGATTTCTACGCTGTTCGTGTAATTTTATTTCCCAATAATAATCGAGCTTTTTAATCATTTAAATTACTTAATTATTAATTATTAAATTTACGCGAATAAAATTTGTAAATTTTCCGAAAAGCGAAATAAGTATTGCATAATTTTATTCCTAAAATATCCAGTGATTACTTTTATTTTGTTTTCATGTTAACGATTTAATATCTTTTTCGTGATACGTTAATAATAAATTATTTACGACGAGTAATATTCTCAAATAAGCAAAATATTCCTGATTTCCTTGTCATGTGACACATACTTTAATTTTACTATCAATTTGTTACAAATCTTTTAATTAATGTGCGTAAGAGATAAATGGTATATTTCAAATACGTCGTGCAACTTTATTTAAAAATAAATTATATTCAATGTTCTTTAATCATTTTTTATATTAATCCTTTTTTCGTAGTCTCTTTGTGAAATAATACATACCTTGTTAATTAAAAGTCTTTTATTGAAATAACTCTTCCATTAAATTAATTTCACGTTCTGTACTGAAAGAAAATTCTTCACAATTATCTGAAAACCGGTATTTGATTACGTTCCGTCGTAATTCGTTTCCATAGAATATTAATTTTATCGCTCCATAGTGAAGAATTGCTAATAATACAGACAATGTGAACTATGTTAATACCTAATGCTTTTAACGAAATTATTCTTCCATTTGAAATAATTATTATTTGATTAACGTGAATTGCATTAAATTTAAATTCCATCACTCGCAAAATATTAAATTCAACTGTATTTATATTTCATACTCGTAAAAT